AAAAGAAAAAGAAAAAGAAAAACAAACAAACCAAAAAAAGGTTTGTTTTGGAGGTTTTAGCCAATGGTCAGTTGGTTCCCTTGCTTTGGGGCCTGTGGCCAGGCAGTGTAGTATGGCTGAATCACAAGGAAGAGAAAGCTGCTCACCTCATGGTAGCCAAAATGCACATAGAGACAAGGGGCCAAGGTCCCGATGTGCCCTTCAAGGGCACCCCAGTGACCTAACTTCCTTCTGCTAGCCCCCACCTCCCAATGATGTCACGTGCTAGGAACCAAGCATTTAATACACGGGTCTCTGGAAAACATTCAAGATCCAGTCTACAGCACTTCCATCACTCGTCTTCTCATGCAACAGTTCACTGTAGTGGTGCTTCCTTCCAAATGCACAAAAGCATCAGAGCTTGGAAAGAACTGATTAATCAGAGACAGTGTCATGGATTCCAGCCTGGTCCTTGTCTCTTGGCTGCACTCCATGGTCAGACATTGTCCTGCAGTGCCCTGGTCATAGAGCCAGCCAGCCCTCCAGCTGGTAGTCCTCCCTTCCTGCTTCCGTGGCCAGGGCCATGATCTCACCTGTCGATGCCCCACGCTGGCTTGATGTCTCAGTTCTGGAACAGAGATGCTCCAGCAGCTACCCGGGAAGGCTCTGGCCCAAAATATTTAGTTAGCAGCCATTCAGTTAAGTGGAATTGACTTTTTATCGGCTTTCCTCTATATGGCTGCCACCAGCAAGGGCTGTTTCCTCCTTCCCTCTTCTCTGCCTGTCAGTTCGCTCCACATTCCTATCGGCAGCCCTTGGCTCTGATCAATACTAACCGCTGTGTAACGGCTCATGCACGGCTGCTCTGGTTGGCATCGATCAGACCCTTCTTCCAACAGGTAGTCAGCTATTTGAGGCAATGACTTGAGATAAACACCTGCTTTTACTTCAGGCTAATTCATTTCAGGCAGGTTTCAAGGCAGCTCAGCACCCCCAACTCATAGCCAAGCTGAAATCTGAGCGAGCGTCAAGACCAACTCCTCCTGTGCTTCAGAGCCAGAGGTCTTTCTTCCTCCCCGCCTTTTTTCCCTTTCCTTTGTACTTTGTAAGTGCCACTTATAAATAAGATACCAGGACTTGGAGCACTGAAAATGCCACTTCTGAAAATGTGTCAGCCATGCCCCTGCTTTCCCTTTAATGAGATGCATCCAGGATTGTGGGAAACCCCAGGCTGCCATGGGGGACAGCATTGTCACCGGGCAACCAAGCTTCTTTCCAGCTGTTCCAGAACTAAGCTTACAGGATCCTCAGCTCTTGTCCTATCAACACCCCAGGGACAGTCCTTGAGTTCGCCCCATCCTGTTCCAGACTCGCAATTGAATCTGCCAGGAGCAGATTGTGAAATGTGTTGTTGTTTTGCAACTAACTCTAGTGCATGGAGGTGACGCAATTTCATGGTATCTGTGCTGTAGCTGGAGAACACACACCTTTTTATTTTATAACATGCACACTAAGTGTGGCTGAATGTACGTCTGATGCAATTACTCACCTGTCACCAGGATCTTATATTACTCGTCATGTTTCTCTTTGCCCAGCCACCCTTGACAGCCTGCCTTTTCAGTCCCCAAGTCCTGCTGAGCTTCCCCTAACAGTGCTACTCCAGGGCCCCTGGTCTCCATCTCAGTTGCTCTCATCTTTACTGAAGCCTTTGTTGCATGGTGCTTGGACCCCTACAGTAACCTCTAGCTCATTGCCTGACTTCCACTTGCTCCCTGCTTTGGGAGTCTCGCCTTGCACACAGATTAATTTCCTGGCCCTCTGCTAGGACTGCTTTTTGTCTTCTCTGGAATCCTCAGTAGCTCCCCATTGCCTGCCAGAATTGGGGCAAAATTCCTCAGTCGATCATTGTGGCCTTTATATATTCTTATTCTCTCTCTCTCTCTCTCTCTCTCTCTCTCTCTCTCTCTCTCTCTCTCTCTTCCTTTCCCTCCCTCCTCCCTCCATCTTCTCTCCCTCTCTCCTCCCCTCCCATTATCCTCCAGCACAAATCACAAATCCCACACTCTAGCCCATCCAGATGATTCACTACTTCTTCTATCCATGGGTTTCAGTATTGTACCTAAAAAATAAATACTAGGTCCCCATGCTCCCTTTAAAATTAGCTCAACTCTGACAGGCATGGTGGCACATGCCTACAATCCCAGCACTTCAGGAAGCTGAGGCAGAAGGATCACAAATTTGAGCCCAGCCTGGGCAACCTAGGGACTTGACAAGGCCCTGTGTCATAATAAAAAATAAAAGTAGAAAATAAAAAGGCATGTGAATGTAGCTCAGTGTGACAGCCCTTGGTTCAATCCTTAGAACCATCAGGAAAAAAAAAGCTCAACACCCTGACTAACTATATATACTAATATCTGTGAACTAAGCAACTGCACTGAAGATGGTAATCTGTAATAGTAGTTTCATGCTTGGAGCGCCTGTCATTCTGGTCTTCTGAATACGGGCTGCTTGTCATGACATGCCAGTTGCTGCTGTGCTGTCTCTCTGGTAGATGATTGTTCAAAAAGAAGAGAGTGGTGAATGAAGGCAAGAGATAGGAAAAGGAATGTTGTGGGACTGTCCTGCTTCAAGGTTGTATATGGGTAGATTTCTGGACTTATGTGTAAACGTAAGTATATAATTCTTTATGCCTATTTTTTAAAATATATTCTAATTTTAAAAAAAGAAAAGAAAAAAAGCTCAAATATTGATTATTCTACTTTAAAAGCTGCTTTACTTCAGCTGAGTTTTCTTCTCTCTGACTCAATTCCTCACCTGTGAAATGGGAATAATAATAGTATCTACTATTGGTAAAGAGGAGAATTATGTAAATTATGTATGTAAGGCAATAAGAATGGGATCAGCAATATGAAATTCTATGTTAGTATTTGCTTTTACTGTTTCCCCCACTGCTCCAAGCCACATTCAAAACATACTTTCTCTTGGAATATTCTGAAGTTTGCCCTGGCAAAAATGTTCATCTCCTCTTCTGTCACACACAGCCCTTTCTGTCTTCCACTACCAATAATAATTTTAGCAGATCATTACTCGGTGCTATGTACATGCACAGTGCTTTCTTCTACATGACAGTCCTTGAGCTAGATGCTTTCCATTATCCCATCTGCTCTACCCCCTCCCGCTGCCCTCTACCTTGCTTTTCACTACAGGAGGTTAATCTGCCTGTCCGGTAATAAGCATTGGAAAGAGATAGGTAAGACAAAGTGGTTAAGTCAGAGCCTTGCTCTTTCTGGCCACATCCCTGCAAAACAGCTTCATTTCTCCTTGCAACGTCACAGCTCCTGTCAAGCAGCCCTCTGGACCACAGGGACTCTATGCGCCCTCTCCTTGCCTCTTCACACCTTCAAGCAACATGATCTCAGGGTACTGCACTCTCCCTGTAGCTCCCTGAATCCTGGCCACAGCTTTGAGAATTCAGTAGTCCCTTGATAAACTCTAGTGTTATAATTCAGCTGTGCTGCCCTAGGAGATGCAGTTCTCACAGAAAAACATGTAGCGTCGTGTCACTGGAGACAGCCATGATCACGTGAAGTGGGTGGTGGGACCTCATCCACCCAGCTCCAACTCAGGATGCTTCAGTGCTGTGATCTGAATGCTGAGACTTCATCCCCAGCATGACGATATTAAGAAATGAAGACTGGCAAAGTGCTTAGATCCTTGTACATGGTATTAGTGCCCTTATAAAACCAGAGCTACCTCAGTCCATGTGTCCCATGAAGACACAGCAAGGAGGTATCATCAATGAACCAGAAGGGAGCCTCTCACGGATCACAAAACTGCCAAATTCTGAAAGGGCAGACTAAAACAGTCAGTGACAGTACCGCTCCTATTTTAAGTATTAAAGTGCCTCTATGTGGATTTCTCCACTCTTAGAATGTATAAGTAGAGGGGTTTTTCCTGTCTTAGTCCATTTCAGGATGCTGTACAAATATCATAAACTATGCACCTGAAAGCAAAGAAATTTGCTCTGTTGGCAGTGGGGAAACTGAAGATCAAAGTACCAACAATCTCGGTATCTGGTGAGACTCATTTCTCATGCACTGCATTTTCTTGCTTGTCCTCACCTAATGGAAAGGATGAATGAGCTCCTTGAGGACTCTTTTACAAATGCATTATAGTCCTTGAGCTAGACGCCTTCCATTGACCCTTCCCTATTCCCTCCATGAATGCAAAGCTTTCATGAACCAACTACTTCTCAAAAGCCTTCCCTCTTAATATCACCATATAGAGAAATTCCTTTTTGACAAACAAATTCTAGCAGGACTACATTCAGACCACATTCATGCCACATTAAGAGTATACTCCATGGGGGTTCAACCTTGGTCATCACATGCCATGCCATCCCCACCCCAGGGACACACTAAGTCAGTGATTCAGACTGGGTATGGTGGCGCATGCCTGTAATCCTAGCACTTGGGAGGCTAAAAATGGGAGGACCACTACAAGTCCAATCTGTGTAGTGAGACCCTATAGACCCTGTACCAAATATATAAAAAAAGAATATACTCCATGGGGAGTTATGTTTTGTTTTTTATTGTTGTGGTTTGTTTTAGTGGAAGCCCTTGCCATTTAGAACTGCCAAAGTATATGTTCAGCAGTATGTCTAGGTTTAAAGGTGTAAAGGAGATAAAATAAGTTGTAAAAGAAAGTGTAATTGACTGAAAACTAGTGTTAATAAGTCTTCCACTTTTTATAGGACATTTGAGCACACAAGTACACAAATATTTTCATGTTTATTCATGGACACAGTGGAATTGTGAATGACTTTTCATTGCCCTGCCATTCCTTCAAATGACAAATATTCTGTCAATTTTCAATATAATTTTGGAGCTTTTATTTTGCTACAAAAACACAAAATTGTGGTCATAAAATAACAATGAAGTTTTTTACTATACTTCTAAAGCTAAAATTTTGTGTAAAATAAGATTTTAAAATTTTTTTAAAGAAAATCAAAGAGTATACTCCAAAATATAGAAGCTTAAGACAATGATCATTTATTAGCTCACCTCCCTGGGAGTTGACAAGTTGGACTGGGCTCAGCTAGGAAGTTCTTCTGTTAGGCTCACCAAACTTGCTTATGTGGCTACAGTTGGCTGCAGGTCTAGCTGAAACCTGGGGTCCTGACTGGTGTCACTTATATGTCTAGCAGCTGAAGGGGACCCACAACAGTGACCAGGCCAGCTTTCTCTAGCAAGTTAACCTAGCCTGACTGGATCCCACAGTCAGCAAAGAGAGCAAACCCCAGTTTCCAAGCACTTTTCAAGCCTCCGCTTATGTCAGCTTTGCTAGTACCCCACGAGGATAGCCAGATTCAAGAGTTGCCAAAACTGATCCACATCTCTTGATGGCAAGAGCTTCAAAATACTGTTGCCAATTTTGTTAGCCTATCTCATGGTGCATATCTTTCCAGAAAGATCTATGTCTTGACAACTTCACTTCCTATATCCTCATAACCTAGGAAAGGAAGGCAAGGTGGGCCACCCCTGTGTTTTAGGGACTAGGGACTACCCTCTTTATAGTTTGGTGAATATCTGATTCTCTTCCTGCCTGCTGCCATTAAACCAAAAATAATTCCAACAGGGTAGTCTCTTAAAACATAGCATGAGGGAATGGAATTTTTTTTTTTAATTAGGCTTCAGCAGAATTTTTAAAAGAA